TTAATATGAAGTCACTATCATCTTAATATCTATAAAATGTTTTAGAGTGAAGATTAAAGCGCACAGTGGATTGTAACTAAGAATAATATACTTACTATCGATGATGGGGATGCCGAAGGCAATCACAGACCTTGGTAGTTCAGCTTGCCATACTTTAGAGTGGAGGCTAATTCATTCAGTCCCCGTAAGAGCCTTGAAAGGTAAGCAGCTTGCTTTCCACTTTGCAGATGAAGAAACCGAGGCTTTGGTGGACACGGCTTCTGCAAAGTTGTAGGTTTATCTCCTATGAGAAAGTGATGGGAACGGACTTTCTGGGGAATGTCCAGTGCTCTGCCCACCCCCTCACAGACTCATTCTCTCTCCTAGGCTGAGATGCAGCTCCAAGACCAGAGGCTCCTGCTCACGCTGAGGCACCTTCACCGTGTCCTGGAGGAGCTGCGTGCTGAGAGTGCCCAATGGGAGGATGCCAAGTCCAGTGGGGGGACATCCCCCATCAGAGCTCGAGCAGGCTCTGAAGGCAGGGGCCACCAGCCCTTATCATCCAGGCGGCTGGCCCAGCTCCTCCAAGGGTTAGACAGCAGACGAAGCTCCCTCCCTTAACTGGCTAGAGATGACCCTGGGCTTGAACCCTCCCACCACTAGTCAAGCTTTGCGATGTTGTGGGGGGAGAACACTGGAATGGGAGTCAGGAAGTCTCTGGATTCACCTCTGCCCTCATCCACGATGTGTCCCTGGGCCCATCACTCAACTGCTCTGTGTCACTCTATGTTCCTTTTTTGTCACTTATCAGCATTTTTGATGAGGCACAAATACAGTATTGGATGAGAACATGCTTTGAAAATACAAACATGCTACATGGCTTCCGTCAAGCTCCATGAAAGTAATCCTATCCTTGGGAATTTCTCACAAAGTGATTGTTAAAACAAAGAAAGAGTTCGGTGTGTGAGGATATTCATCTAGTGTTTCCATGATGAAAAATGGAACCCTGTGTAATGACTTGATGGTTGTTTTCTGTCTTCCCAATAGGCCTTCTCATTCCCCTTTATCTGAAAACAACAGACCATGTCACCGCCCTGGCCATAGGAATGGGCATGTGATCAGGCCTGCCCAATTCTAATCCATGGTCACCCTAACAACATGACTGACCCAGTGGGTGGGGCATATGATGCAACACAGCCAATCATAGCCCTTCTCTGGAATTACTAGCTGGATTACTAGCTTGTTCTACTGCAGTTGCAAAGCTGGAGCTGCCAGTGGCCATGTTTCCTGCCAAGTGAAGAAGATCTGTCTGCACTAGGAAAGAACGAGGCTAATCTTCAAAGAGAAGAAGAGAGAGGTCCACGTGACATAAGCCAAGAGGAAGAGTGCTTGCTCTTTTTTTAGTCCCTGGTTTTGGGCCCTCATTCTATGAGTTACCCCTGCATTCTTTCCAGTGACTAAAACCAGTAAATTCTACCACCACCACACACACCAATTTACTTTTGTTTAGCTGATTTGAGTAAGGTTTCACTCATTTGCAACCAAAGTGGTCCTGAGGAATACAATCCAGATGTTCAAAGAAACAAACGAGGGAAACGATGAGGAAAACAGCATTTCACTCACTCGGGATTGGCAATAACAACCCTGTAGCAGCAGGCAATAAGGTTTATGATGTGGCAGAATACTCAGTTGTACTGGGTGCTGGAGTCATAACTTTTAAAAAGTATATCTGCCTATAAGAAAGATTTTAAAATGGAACTGGTGGGGGGAAAAAAGTCCTGGTATTAAGATGGTCCCATTATTGGTAGGCCTTTTTATTTCTGAAAATCGACCTGCATGTTGTTAAAATATTGTTTTTATAGCTTTGAAAAAGTAAACCCACTGCGCACAGAAGCAAATTTGGGAGGGGTGTGTTATTATGTACAATGTTTATAGTCAGCCTAACCTGTGATGTTTTATATAGTATTT